TTAACTTTTAAGGTTCTTTCCCCTGAAAAATGAGTAGCCTCAAGTTCAAGGCATTTAATTGGTATGTGTTGACATAAAGGAGTATTTAGTAGTGAGGAAAGTTTGATGTCCACCTTAGCAACATTTCCACTCAAGTTCATCCCTGATTTTAAGACACAGCTTATATAAGATATACCTCTTATAACTGACGTGTTTTCAAAAGATGCCTTTCTGCACAGGAATTTTGAATTTTAAGATTTTCATCCAGGATAACTATTTTCTTCAGATGAGTTCAGTAGAATAATCAGATGATTCTTATTTCTCACTCTTTTAAACACCATTCATACCCGCTTTACCATTTTGAAAGAAAACAAAATAAAAACATAATACTGTCTTGCAATTTGCTTTGGTTTTACAAAATATTTTCTAGAGCCAGGTACACACCTATAATCCTAGTTACTTGGGAGACAGATCAGGAGGATTGCTGTTTGAGGAGAGCCTGGGAAAATAGTTGGAGAGATTCCATCTCCAAAATAACCAGAGCAAAATGGCCTGGAGGTGTGGCTCAAGTGGTAGAGTGCCTGCTTTGCAAGTGCAAAGCCCTGAGTTCAAACCCAGTCCTACCAAAAAAAGAATTTTAGATTTATACACATTTCTTATTAAGTCTTCAAATTGTAGAACACAAACTGTACCAGCTTTTGGCCTCAGCAGATATTTGTGAAATTGCTGTCTGATTATATCAATAATAGCAGTAGTTATTCAATGTGATGAAAAAAACTGTCCAGATTCTCAGTGAAAATGTGAAGACAATCTAATTCTGACGGAAAACCACCTGTTCACCTCATTTCATTTCTTCTGTTTTCCACAGAGGATCTAGGTATTTATTCAAAAGGCTTTAACAGGATATCCCAGTTAAAGATTTGACAGGCTGTTTATAGTTCATTTCTACCCAGGGGCAATGAAAGGCACTTTACAGGATAAGCAAGGTGACTCCCAGGCAGCAGTAGGAGGATGTGTGTGTAGGATTATTAACATTGAAATGAGTCAGGACAGAGTGACAAGTCTGCAACAGCACCGTGGCTTAGTAATCAAACAAGAATTCATGCACAGAAATCTGTGATGCTTCTCAGTTCCTTAGTGCAAATGAAACTAAAATTTAGGGAGAAGGAACAAGGAGGATACATAAAGATGTATATGACAGTATTAAAAAATAGTCTTCCAGTGCAAAGACATCTAATCCTCCTTTGTCAGAACTATTCTGTCTGTTTGAACACTTGGCATATTTCCCTGGGGTTCAAGAAAAGAAAAGAAAGGGAGTAGCTGTCTTCTGACCCAGTGCTAAGCCATTGGATCTTGCTTTACTTTCACGCTGTCCGAACGTGTCTCTTCTCACCAGTTTATTACATCCATTGTAGGATCTGCTTGCTTTGTGCAGTCCGTGTACCGAAGGGGAGCTTCCTGGAGCATGCTAGCTCACCTTTTTGTTCCCACATGTTTGGCTGCTGTATCCCAGGGTTTGTCTGTCTTTTAAGAATCAGTCCTTTTGCCCACCCTAGATTTATATGCTGAGAAATTTGAATATTGCAAATGATCTTTTGATGTGAGAAGCTGATTGAAAAGTTCCCTCAAAATAGTAATTAAAGACATATGGTACCTTCTTTATATTGATCTCATTTTAAATATCTGGTCCTGGAGGAAGAGCCAAATTAGAATTAAATAATGAGCCATGTGAGGGTTGGATCAAAACTACAGTCCCATTCAAGTTGAAAATATGTGAAGTTGATGACAGCTTATACTAGATTTCCCTGAACAGACTTGGAATTGTGAGTCAACCTAAGTACTAGATTACAAAGGATTAGAACTTGACTGTTACCAGGAGACATGGTAAAAGCAAACATAAGATTACTTTAACATACTTAATTTATATGTTTAGGAAATTTATTCCTTATTAGTTATAGTACAGCTAAGTAGATTTTTTTTTTTTTTGTGATACTGGAGATTGAACCCAGGGCCTCACACATGTTAGGCAAGTGCCATACCCCCCAGTTTTTTTGTTTGTATTTTGTTTTTGAGACAGAATCATGTTCCTTTGCCAGAGTGGGCCTGAAACTTGAGATTCCCCTGCCTCCACTTCCAAGTAGCTGGCATTACAGATGTGTGCCACTCGACCTGGGTGACAATTTCTTAATCAGAGAAAAGTAGAAACAGTTCTCTTTCTTACTGCTCACTTCTATTTCTATTCTCCCTTTCATTCCCCTTTCTCTTCCCTTCCATTTATTTTAAGATATGTTTTCTTTTCCTGTGTATCTCCATGCAAATTTTAAATCTACATACAAGATCTTAGTATATTGACATTTTTCATTCTGCTTCCTCATTTGTCACTTGTCCTTTAGAATCCTTGTGGTCTGTGTGCATCTAATCATTAATCATAAGCATTGCATAGTACTTGATGGTACACATCATATTGAATTGTTTCCTCTCAAGTAGTAATTATGTGTCACAGTTTGCAACAATCACTTCAAACACTAGCTCAATAATTGAAAAGGTAACATTAAATTTTAATTTTTAATTGACTTCATAGGGTCTAGTGTTGCAGCACTGCACCAGAAAACTTTAGCACCCACATGTAAGCATCAATAAAACTAAAATACGCACTTGGGTACACAGAAGCACACTACAGAGATACGTGTGTTTAACCTACCTGTTTGAGTCCAGGAAAACATCATTTGTTCAGAACTATTTCAAAGAATGCTGTAACTACTCTAGTGATTTTGTTTAGGAAAATATTAAATGTCACTTAGTGTCAGAAGTCACTTAGAATACCTGTCTGTCATCTTTGTATTGTCATTTTTGTGATATCCCATTTCTGGAAAAACAGTGGGATAACCCATTTGCAATGTCATATTAAGCCTCTGAGCTTTCAAAGGAAATGTACACTGACTGTATCATTTACATAGATGGGGAATGGGGAGATGGCACAAGCTAGAAACTCAGTTTGTAGCCTGGGAAAGTTAGAATGTGACACTAGAACTTCCTTCTGGCCCCTAGGCAGTAAACCTCACTGCTGTGCCTAGTTCAGAATTTCCATACGTCTTTGCTAAAAAACCAGATCTTCTCCAGACCCCCATCTCAGTGTTTCTTCCTGGACCAGAAGGCTCTGGTGACTGAGACCTGAATTTCTCATCAGGTTGTTTGCATTGTTCCTGACAAGAGGTCTGCTAGAGGCAGCACCTTACACTCACTTACAGAGATGTGAGCTCTTGTATCCAACCTGATTTACTCTTGCTCCATCATTTCCTAGCCAAGGTGACCTTGAATATGTTGGCTAAATTCTCTCTTCCTTTCAAATTGCCTGGACTGTGGACTAGGTACAGTGCCACAGGTATACTTATGCCACAGGTGTTTTGTGTGAGAGTTAAGTGAGTTGAGACATGTGAAACTCTTAGAAGCATGGCAGCATGCTTTAGGTGTTGTCATTAAATCACTGTATCCCCTTTCCTCTCTCTTCCCAAGCCCTTCTTACCAACAAAGTACAAATGATAGCTTCCTGGCTCTTTCCTGCTCTTTCTCCAGCTGAGTCACTGGAGAAAGAGTCACTTGTTTTTCTACCTGTCCATCTCAATCCTATCTATTCTCGCCCTTGCGCTGCAGCAGTGCCCTGCAGTCTCTGTGTCCCATCCCCTGCTCCCCTGGGTGTGGCCCTGCAAACCTTGCACAGTGTCTGTTAGTTATTCCACCTGTTGGAAGCATGTGTGCATTTTGTCTCTTAAAAGGCACATTAGGGTTTGGAGAACAAAGACCTTTTTTATTCTTCTTTTGTCCCATGGAAAATAATTTCTCTTAGAGACCAATACCAGGAATAGTGCTTTTCCTCAACCGATGATTGCATTGTGACCTTAGGGGCACCAGATCTCATATCTGCCTGTATGTGTTCCTCTCTGCATCGACTGCTGGAGAGCTCAGAGTCACGGTGGTGGCTTTCATTTATCTGGGGCACTGCACTTCATGACATATTTTGTGTACACATCTTGCCTATCTTCATATCATTTATTATTCCCACATTTATTTCTCTGTGATATTGCTCTCAGCACTTTTGAAACCCCTTTATATTTATTTTGTGATCATATTAAATCCTTTTGGGAACATAGGGGAACACAAATAGTCCATAGTTTATTTTGAGGCACAGCAGGAGCCAGGCTGTGCAGCAGATAGACCAAGGTTCAAAGCTATCCTATTGCCCACCTTCGAGGGACCTAAGGCAAGTTATCTCCACCTCTCCACTTTCTCTCCTCCTGGGGTGCTTGTACTATTTAAGTGAGATAAAGTGTGTGAAGGTCCAAATACTGTCTGTCTGTCACTGGCGTCTAGATGCTGTCCCTTAGATATTTGTTCCATCTTGTATCTTCCAGTATGTCCTTAAAAATTAGGCGATACTAGGAGCTGGGGGCGGGGGGTAACTCAGTGGTAGAACCCTTGCCCAGTTTGTGTTTGAAGCCCCGGTTTTGATCCCAACACCACAAAAAGGGAAGGGAAAAAAGTATACTGACAAACAGCTGTTTCTAATTTAATTATGAGAAAAATACATACCATGCCTAGCAGGTGTTCAGTCACCTGCTGAGTTCCATCACCTACCTGAGTTTCTTGGCTCAAGCATTCACCAGATTGCTGGGTAAGTAAATGCTCACAACTTGCCTCAGGTGTCTGGAGAATTGTGCTCATTTCTGTCTCCATCCTCATAAAATTGCCTAAGAGGCAAAAGGCATTTCAGTATGAAGATGTTGCATCTTCTGAAACCGTTGAGAGTGGGTTTTCTCCTTAGCAATGCGCAGTTTCTGATCTTTAACATCACCTAAAGATCAGGGTTCCTGGGTATCAGGGAGTTAAGAGGCTCCTTGGCATTGGCCACTGGCCGTCTTGTGGTCAGAATGTCCTACCCTGGCCCTGCTGGGATTGGGAATCCCTTTTGGACTCCAATCTGTGCTTTCTGTCTGACCTGCTGTCACCCTCTTTTCCCCCATTAGCCTTGCAGCAGTGCCTGGGAACCCACATCCTGTGGGAAGACAGAGGATCAGATGATGGCTTCCGGTCAGGCTCGAAAATACGTGAACACCTTCTCAGCCCGGACTCTGGTCATGTGAGATGTTTCCAGAAAAGCATTATTCCAGAACACTTCAAGTTGACTTGTGCTATATCATTCCTCGACATGAAGCCTTTCATGATTGGGAGAAGAACTTATTTTTGTTGTGGTACAACAGTTGAGAGCAGCACCAAGTGCATTTAGTTGGATGAAATCTTCTTGTATTTCACTCAACTAAAAGGATTTTTTTAAAAAAATAAAATGAATAACAGTCTTACCTAAATTATTAGGTAATGAATTGTAGCCAGTTGTTAATATCTTGAAGCAGATTTTTTTTAAAAAAACATAAAATGATTTATCTGTATTTTAGAAAATCCAACAGATCAGTATTTTTGCCTATGATGAGTCTCTTGAAATTTTACACAAAGATACTCCAGTATTTCACCTTTCTCAATCACTAAACATACCCATAGATTTTTTTAAAAATCAGCAAAAGCATTACTATAAATGTAGGCTAAATACAGTGGGAAAGTAGAGATTGTAAATGTTCATTTGTGGTTATTAACTTCAGAGGTACATTTACTGTACTAAACCATTTTATGAGTTCTTTGTTAGCTTGCTTTAAAATTATTACTGTATGAAATAGTTTTATAAAAAATTATATTTTTATTCAGTAATTTAATTTTGTAAATGCCAAATGAAAAATGTGTTTTGCTGCTATGGTCTTAGCCTGTAGACATGCTGCTAGCATCAGAGGGGCAGTAGAGCTTGGATGGAAAGAAAAGAAACTTGGTTTTAGATAATTGACTATGCACTAGTATTTCAGACTTTTTTATTTTTTATATATATACATTTTTTTCCTTTTGTAATACATTGGAAAACTTGTTTGGGAGATTTTGCATTTTTTTATTTTATGTTTTTTGGTTTTCTCTTTTTGTTGTTGTTGTTTTATAAGAGCATGCATTGCACTTCTTTTTTGGGAGATCTATGTTGTTGTCCTATGTTTTGTTTTGAGTTCAGGCTCACTGGTCATTAATTCAGGGGTTCTGAGTTCGATCAGCATCCCCCATGGTTTCTAAGTGTACAATGTCAGAACTGCCTTGCATGTCCTATGTTGTAGTTGGGGAGACAAAGACAGAGGTCAATAGTCAGTCGCTGCCTTAAGAACATTTGGTGCAAGATGAACTTTTGATATGACAGTGTACTTACTGCCATGTAGCAAAATAAAGCTGTGCCCTTATTTTCCTTACTTTTGACTTCTTTCATGCTTGTGATTGTGGAAGGAGGGAAGGGAGGGGTGAAGAAAGGAGGGGAGGGAAAAGGAGGGGAGGGAAGAAAAGACAAGGGAAGGGAAGAAAGGGAAGATGGAACAAACTCAAAGCACTTTCCTATCTAAAAAATTTGCACACACCATCTGACTTCATGTGAAAAAGCCAAGAATCATTACTAGGGAGAAAGGAGAACAAATAAACCAAATTGAAAAGTTTACCTTTGAAAAGTAACCTTTGGCAAGATCACTGCCACCTAAGAAGATGTCACAGGTAGGGATCCAGGGGTAACCCCTAACTTTACTTAGGGATTACCCATTTCTCCCACATCCAGCCAGGGTTCCTCACTATCAGAACCAACCAGAAGCCAGAGGGCAAGGTTGCTGGATGGATGCAAGCCAGAGAGTCAGATACTTAGGGAATCTCAGTGTGGCCCATTCAGCCCAACTCCCCCATTTTTCAGGTGAATCCTCCGTGGCTTCTTCAGCTCAGTGTTCTTTCCACCAGGCCATCCTAACCCTGGAACATACTTTCCTTTTCAGTTCCTGAGGCCACTCTGTTCCAACACCAAGTTTGAATTTTCATATGCATGATACACTTGGTGTTCATAGAGCCAAGGTTTTGTTACACTTAATTACAAATCTTTAACACTATTTTGCATTCTTTGTCCTTATGACGGGTATTAGGAAGCTTGTTATATTCATAACCCCTCAGTATTTTTCTAGGTTCTCACTCTGCCATTTAGTAGCATTTTGAACTTGAACAAGTCACTAATATCTTTGGGTCTTTTTTCTTTATCTAGGAAATGAGTTCATTCTTACTATAAAACTTTTGTTAAATAAAGGACTATACAAATATTTACATTACCTTTGCTTTCCGTTAAGTGATGCATGTCATGTAGTATGTCAAATGTTCATCTGGCTGGTATGCACATTGCCAAGTACAGAGTTAAATGTAGGGGTCATGTTATCATTATTAAAATAATGGCAATGCCAACTCAGTTTTATGCAGGTCTGAAATATGTTATTTACTTTTTCAACAAGTATGTAACCCAATAACTAGAGTCTAAGAAACCGAAACTAATTAATAGAAATGTAAGTTCAGATTTCATGTATAAATGTATCATAAGCATCTTAAAAACATTTTTGTCCTGATCATGTTTTATTCTTATAAAAACATGCAGAATTTTAAAGTGACTAAAGGTAGCCTAACTGTTGAACAAATTTCCAGCAAAGAAAGGAATAGTATTGGCAAGATAAAATGAGTGAAAGGGTAAATATGGATGGAGCTGAATTTAGTAATGACAACTATGGCAAACTTGGCTTCCATCCTGTTACCCAGGCACCCAGCAGCTGAGGTCATATAAGAGATGTGAGCCGTTTTACACAAGTGATTTTCTTCCAGACCACCTCAGGTGTCAAGCAAAGTGTTTGAGGTGGTAAAGGTGGGGCATAAGGAGTAGCTCTATGTGGGCACTGGGTGTGTGGCTCGATAATTACCATGTGTGAGGCCCTGGATTTGACCCCAGCACCTCAAAACAAAAACAAAACAAAAAACCCTCTATGAAGGCTCATCTGTGTTTAAAACATAATCACATGAAAGGTAATTATGAAGGGTTATCCTATCTACACAGATTTTTTTAGTGGCTTCAGAAAGTCAGTGGTCTGAGGCTACTAATTGTTGTTTGACTCACATTGTTCTTTGGTTCTGGATGCGGAAAAGCCCAAGACCAAGGCACTGGCAGATTCAGGGTCTAGTTAGAGCCCACTTCTTGGTTCATAGATGGCATCTTTTTGCTATTTTCTGTTTTCACATGGGACAGGCCAGATTGATTGATTGATTGATTTTTGGTGATCCTGTTTTCTATAGCAGGAATTCAGGTAGTAAAATGAAAATGGTATATTTTCTACTGAAATGAAAGATGGTCTTTTCAGTCACAATGTGTAAAGGTGTAGTTTTAGAGATTAAGAGAGACACTGAAAGCATTGATTTGTGCCCTGGCTTCTAGAGGGGACTGACTGATGTGAGAGATGTCCAGGGATCAACTTCCTTGTTTCTTTAGAAATGATACAGTATTAGAACTGGAAGGGACCTTAGACATCATCATTGTCCTCAGTAGGTCTCACTGCATTGCTTGATTAAAAGAAAATCCGTTTTTAAAGCCTAACAATCTTGGTTGCAATTCAGACTTTGCCTTTTACCAGTTCTGTGACTTTGTCTGAGTTTTATTTCATCTAACTTCATTTTATTTATCTTGGAGATCAAATACATCTCACGATTATTGGATACCATGAAGATGAAAATACAGGAAATGTATTCATGCATTTCTGTAAAACGTTGTGCCTGTCAATAAGATGAGATTTATGAACAGTCAAAGAAAAACCATGTCTGTTATCCAGCAGTGGAGAAGTGAAGACTTCTGAGGTCCATGTCTCTGATGGTGTCTTTAACCTATTCTCTGTCTTTATTATTATTATTTGTTTATTTTTTTATTGCTGTGCTGAGTGATAGTACATTGTGACATTTATAAAAGTTCTTACAATATATCAAATATATCATACCTGAATTCATCTTCTCCTCCATTCTCCTTTATTTCCCCATCCCCCCATTCCTGGAATAGTTTCAACAGGTATCATTTTTCCATTTACATACATGTGTATACAGTATTTGCATTGTATTCCCACACCCTTTCCCACCCTCATCGCCTCTCCCACTGGTACCCCCCCGCCCCCCCCCCACAGGACCTGTTCTGCCCTTGCTCTTAACACTAACTTCAAATCTCAGTATCTCCTCAAAGTACTGCTAATCATTCTAACATACATCAATCCTTCTTGTACAAATGTATGTGGAAAAGCTGGGGCAGGTGTATTTTTCCTTAAACTTCCTGGTTTCTAAACATAACTCACGTGTGCTTGCTTTTCTCCATTGTCAGTGATAGTATTTGTTAAGCACTCACTGTATGCTAGAAAAGAAGGGAATGGGAGGGAAGGAAGATTGCTGGCAGTGAGAATAATAACAGTGATGTCCAAGAGGCCAGAGTGTTGGGAAACTAAAAGGGAAACCTGGAGAAAAGAGAAAGATATGAGGCTGGAAAACCACATAAAGTGAGTCTGAACTTTGTCCTTACAGATATGGAGAGTCATTGAGTGGTTTCGGGAAATAAAATGACTAATTTATGTCTGATTTATATAAATATAAATAATCCTGTTCAAATCCTTGTTCCTGAGAAGTAGAAAATTATTCCTCAGGTTAGGTGTGAGAGATGATTGCAGTCTGAATGCTATGGCCAGTTAATTGTTGTGTATTTCCCACTGCTACTTACTTAATATCGAAAGAGTGCTTTAATCCTAGAAGTTCTTACTACAAAAATATCATTTGAGCTGAAGTTCATAAAAGCTGTTTTCACATTTTATAGCCCATAAAGTAATTGGTTCAGGAAGAATTGATTGCATAAGATGCATTTCTCCTTTAAGAATATTTTCAACCAATAATTTATCTGAAACCTTCCTTGTCATTTCCAAAAGCCAAATCTTCCACTGTCTTTTTTTTATATACTATATCTCTTGACTATATTTTGATATTTTTCCCATTAAGGAATCCTATTAACATTTATTCTTGAAGTTGTCTTCAGCTTAATTTTAGATTTTATTTTACTCTTTAATCTGGAATGTAGTCTTACAATCAGTGATTCTTAGACTTTATTGAGCATCAGAAATATTTTGGCAACTTTTTAAAAGTAGGCATTCTTGACCTCACCCCCAGGAATTCTGATGCAGGTAGACTTAGGAATTTAGCATGCTTCCAGGTGATTCCAACATAGGTGTTCTGAGGGAGGGACACACTAAAAATAACCTGCCTTACGAACAAACTTTATTTGTTCGTAAATATTACAACCCAACCCTGGTTGGTTTTCTATCTAACCATTCCTTAATAGTGTTAGATTCCTGTGGAGCCCAAAATTTTTTAGTTAAAGTGTTCATTGGTTTATGGAACCTTAGAAAAACATTAAGGCCTTAACTATAAGGAGATTTTTCTTAAATCTAGAAAGCCATTATGTTATCAGTATTGGTAATTAAAGCCAACCTTGGCCTTCAGATCCGTCTTTTGTTTGACTTTGTTTTTTTTACAATATACAGGGAAGTATAATTTTATTCACAGTGTTTCTGAACTTCTTTTATACTATGGTTCTATTGCACACGTTCTATCAAAAGGGAATCTATATGTCAAGGAGTTTAGCATGGAACTAAAACAAAAGCATTTTCATTCAGAAGTCCTTGATAGTAAACCAGTTTCTAATCAACTTGCTGAAAAACCTTGTTCAAATCACACCTCTGTGCTTTGAGATTTCTTTTTAAATGGAGGAAGTATTTAATCCTGTATGTAATTACAAAGCATACGGAAGTCATCAGTGACAAACAAAATTCAAAGAAAGCTTCAGTAGCCCAAAGATATTGGAATACTTGGAATAGAATTGTGAAATTTTTCTGCTAGAAAGCATCCTCTGAAATGAACTTATAAATTAACCAATCACTCTGAGCCTGTGTTTGGGGAGCAGATGTTAAGGTCAGAGTCAAGGTTTGTTTTCATTTGTCACTTCTAAAAAATGTAAATCTATTTTTTATGATATTGCAGGGCCTCACACTTGCCAAGAAAGCACCCTATCACTAGAGCCATGCCCCCAGCCCTATCCACCTTTTCTTTAGCTGTCCCAACTGTCTAACCATGAACAGACCTAATTCGAATTCATTCATTTATTCCTGTTAGATCCTAACTCATTCATTTGTTTAAAAATACTTACTCAGCACTTCCTATGTAGGGCAGAATTCAAAAAATTAAGTATATATTATATATGCATGTATATATTATATATGCATGTATATATATAAGCACCATACATACTTATAGACAAAGCAATATTTTCCTGCGTACTCCCAAAAGTACTAAGAAAGAAAAGGGCCTATTTCATATTTGCTTTTTTTTTT